GGGGGGGGGGGGGGAAGACAAGAAGAAATACCCTATGTCAGACACGGCACATGCAGCAAGTTTTCAAGTTACATGTTGGTCAGCTAAATTCTCAGTGGCCCCGACCACAGTCACTAACATTGTTCTACTGTGGTTTAGGCATCATTTAAGTTTTCTAGTGCAATCATGGTTATTAAATAAAGCTACTGAAGATAACCAAAGTTGTCATGAAGTTCTAAAACACTAAATATAATCCAGATAACCTTAAAAAAAAAAAAAGACACCTTGAAATGAGGAGCATTAGGGGAAGTGTAAGGTGTTAAATTAAGCCGACTTATTAGGTTTAGCCCCAAAGGGTTAAGAATAAACTGAAAGATCACAGATTTCTACATAGAACAAAGGTACTCAGGAATCCTCCTTCAAAAAGAACCTTTAGAAGAACACATAAAAACAAAAAAGGGAACATCAAAGAGAACTGATCCTCATTATGTCTATTGTTTGCTTTGGGCCCTTCCTTCTTGTTTTGGGCAAGAACATTTCCTTGTTCTCACACCTATTCTAGACACCAATTTGCCACAGGGGACGCTTCTGTTAAAGCCACCAAGACCATGCAGAAGTTCAGAATGAAGGGGATTAATGAGTTAGCGTAGTTCTTTCATTAACATCAGCTCTTGGCAATGCTGGGGTAATATTTTTTTACATTGTGACTCCTTGTGAACCCATTATGATCCACCTGAGATTAGGCCTTCCTTGAGGACAAAGATTAAACATCTCCTTGGGTAAAAACATGGCAACTAAAAGTGAAATCAACATGATCAAAATACTGTACATCTGAACCAAACTACTTGAGTGACAACTCAAACATTATGAAGTTTTAAAAAAGACTATATATACAAAGAAAATTAATTAAGTATCAAAAAACATTCAAAATTGATCCTAATTTCTAGATAAGGTTGACAGTGGAATTCAGAGTACTGCTATTCCAGTTACCTACTTGAGCTTCGATATCAATGAAACCTTTAACCACAATAATATATGAACTCCTATACTTGAGTAACATGACAAAGCTTTTCTCACTGGAATCATAATGGCTGGAATCATCACTAAGATTTGTTCCCTCTCTTATATTTATATTTATGTCATTAAGCACATTTACAAACTACATAAATTCTTTAGAGGACAAAGGATTAGGATAAACTGCAAACAAGAAATTTAATCTTCATTTGTGTGTTTATTGCTGACTGTAACATTGTACCCTGTTAGTAACAACCAACATTAACAATAATACAGGGGGACTTCCCTGTGGTCCAGTGGTTAAGAATCCAACTTACAATGCAGGGGATGCCAGTTCAATCTCTGGTCGGGGAACTAAGATCCCATATGCCACGGGGCAACTAAGCCCACGTGCTGCAACTACTGAGCCCGTGCACCACAAGTAGAGAGGCTGTGCACCACAACTACAGAGCCCATGTGCTCTGGAGCCTGTTCACAACTACAGAGCCCACACACCCTGGAGCCGGCACACTGCAACTACTGAGCCCACAGGCTCTGGAACCAGCATGCCACAACAAAGAGCCCGCATGCCGCAACTAAGACCCCGTGTGCCACAACTAAGACCCGACGCAGCCAAGAAATAAATAAATACAAAAACATTTTAAAAGACGCCTTAAAAAAATGAACAGAGTTCTGCTTCCAGTGATATCAAGACCATTTCTCCTATAGATAACAATTATGAACAGCAGACAAAACATTAAAAAAAAAGAAAGAGCTGAAGGCACTGGAATGCACGCAAAGCAGGCAGAAACTGGAGGAAAAGCAATACCAAGGAGATGAGAAAGACACTGGGTATGCTTCCCCCACTTTTTGTTTTTTAATGGCTCTTTGTCTGAGGCATACCTCAGGGTGCAACTAAAATTCTGAAATAAAAACTGCAGTCTTTCTGTTTGCAAATCAGAAGGCAGGGTGGAGACAAACACATCAGCTAACAAGTGAGGAAGAAAACCCCAGAAAGGAAAGGGTCACAGACAGAATCCTCAGTTCTTCACATAAATTCTGTCCTAATCTGTGGCTGACTCACGAAGTACATATTCAAAGCAGAATCCAAGCAGCCCATCTAAGTCCAAAAGAATAGACTAGAGATTTCAGCTGCTTCTCACTACAAGGAAGACAGCATTTAGAGTCTGTGCCCAGCTAATTTAACTGACTGCTAAAAGAAACAAACAAAAAATCAATACTCCTCAAAGAATATAATAGGATCCAGAGATCCTATAATGAATTATTCACAATATCTAGGATATAATCCAAAGTTACTCAATGTAAGATAAAACAGGAAAATGTTACCATGTGCAAGAGAAACAATGATAATCAATGAAGACAGGCCAAGACGACTCCAATTTAGAATAGCAGACACAGGATTTTAAAACTCTTATTACAAGTAAGGTCAAGCCCACAGAGAAAACATGCTCAAAATGAATTTAGAAAAATAGTATATTTTAGAGAAATATAAATTACCAAAGAGAATTAAATGGAAATTCTAGAACTAGAGAGTACAATATCTAAAAAAAAAAATTCACTGGCTAGGCTTAACAGATTTGATATGACAGAAGAGTCAATAAATTTGAATACTGATTAACAGAAATTATCAAATTTGAAAAAGAAAAAACTGAAAAAAAGAAAAAACAGTTTTGTGATCTGCAGGACAGGACCAAAAGGTCTAACATACATGTAACTGGAATCCCAGAATGAGTAGAGAGAAATGGGGCTGGGAAAAAATTTTTGAAGAAATAAGAGTTGAAAGTTTCCCAAATTTGGTAAAAGACATAAATTTATGGATTGAAAAACTTGGCAAACCTTGAGCAGAACAAAGAAAAACCACACCAAGGTACAACACAGCCAAATTGCTTAAAACCAAATACATATAAAGAGAAAAATCTTAAAATTAGCCAGGAAAATAACAAAACCCATATTACATACGTCATACATGGGAAAAACATGAAGGAAGGTTGACTTCTCACCAGAAAAAATGGAGGCCAGAAAACACTGGAATGACATCTTCAAAATATTGAAAAGAAAAAAAAGTCAACCCAGAATTTCAATACCCAGAAAATATCCCACAAAAATAAAGGAGGGGAAGAATAAAGGCAAATTAAAAACATTTTCAGAAAAATGAAAACTAAGCAAAATCATCACCAGTCAACCTGCACTCCAAAAATTGGTAAAGGATTTGTTTTGGGCCAAAGGAGACATTCAGGAAGAATGAAGAGCACCAGAAATGGTAAGTAAGTGGGCAAATATAAAAGGCTTTTTCCTCTAAATTACTTTAATACAGTTAGCTGCTTAAAGCAAAAATTGTAACACTGTGTTGTGGGATTTATAGCACATATAGATAAAAGGCATATGATAACTAGAGCAAAGAAGACAGGGGATGGTAAATGGAATTACATAGTGGCAAGGTTCTTATATTTTACATGAAGGGGTACAACATTAACTTAAAGAAGACTGAAAAGTTCAGGATATATATTGTAATTCTTATGTCAACCAAGCTCCCACAAAATAATAGTACAAAGAGCTGTAGCTAAAAGAACAACAGAAAAGTTAAAGTGGAATTGTAAAAAATACTCTATTAACCCGAAAGCAGGCAGGAAACAGAGGAAAAGAGAAACAAATAAAAAAAGTAGAACAGAAAACAAATAGCAAAATGAAAAACTGAAATCCAACCACTTTAATAAATGCATTAAATATAAATGGAATAACCCTCCATGTAAAAAGCAGAGACTCCCAGACTGGATAAAAAGGAAGACCCGGGCTTCCCTGGTGGCACAGTGGTTGGGAATCTGCCTGCCAATGCAGGGGACACGGGTTCGAGCCCTGGTCTGGGAGGATCCCACATGCCGCGGAGCAACTAGCCCCGTGAGCCACAATTACTGAGCCTGCGCGTCTGGAGCCTGTGCTCCGCAACAAGAGAGGCCGCGATAGTGAGAGGTCGGCGCACCGCGATGAAGAGTGGCCCCCGCTTGCCGCAACTAGAGAAAGCCCTCGCACAGTAACGAAGAGCCAACACAGCCATAAATAAATAAATAAATTAATTAATTAATTAATTAATTAAAATAGAAAAAGGAAGACCCAACTACATGCCATGCACAAGAAATACAATTTCCAGCAATATATAAAGAATAATATGTTGTGATCAAGAGGAATAGGAAATTGATTTAACACTGCAAAGTTAATAAATGTAATTCATCACAGTAACAGAATAAAGGAGGAAAAACCCTGGAAATATTCCAGATGCCCATCAACAGACCACATAAACATCATATATTGTTGGAATACAACTTTGCAATTAAAAGAAAGAAAAGGAAAAATTCACTGATACACACAATGACATGGATGAGTTTCAAAACCATTATGCTGGGTGAAAGAAGCCTTACACAGGAGAGTGCTTAGTATATGATTCTATTTATACATGAAATCCTACAACAGGCAAAACTAGTCCATATTAAAAAAAAAAATAGAACAGTGGTTGCCTCTAGGTAATGGGGTAGGGTAATAGGAGTTTGGATTACACAGGTTTACACAGTTTAAAAAACTGAATCACCTTATACTCTAAATTTTTTTAAACCATAAACAAATATTAAAGTCTAGTTAATTATATGCACACTAAAATGTTTAGGGTTGAAGGGTACTGATGCCTGTAAGTTAATCTAAAATACATTTTTAAAAAAAGATAGATCAATGATTAACTATAGATTCATAAAGCAAATACAGCAAAATATTGTAGAATTTAGGTGGTGGGTATATGGGTGCTCACTGTATAATTCTTTCAAGATTTCTGCAGTTTAAAACCCAGGGACAGATCTTTTCAAATACAATTCCTTGCTACACTCCTTCAGATACACTCTGTGAACAAATTAGGTTTTCTCAAATATCAGAAACAGTAACCCTAGCTGTTTTAAACTTTTATTGCCTCTACACCCTTATTACAAAAAAGATGTAAAGCAGCTGTTAGCCTGTATTTATGGTGATAGACTTTTAGGGTTGGAAGAAAGAGGCAATAAGACTTGCTTACACCTGCAAGTCCCAAACTTTAAATATTCGTTATCAACTTTTGAAATTCCTTAGGATTTAGGGGATTTTAGGTTGGAAATTTCTAATCTGGTCCAACTCCTCCTTTCCTAGGTATAACACATTTATCCATTGGAATTCTCTCCTCAAACTAGCACTGTAATACATTACACTATAATGTGTCTAATCAGTAAGGCAAGAAAGGTGCAAGTCTCCCAACCTACTCATTGCCATGAGGAAAAGCTGATGATTTTGAAAGAGAAAAGTGGGGAAAAGCATGTACGAAGCAGTGCATACCTCCTGTTCTGCTTGATAAAGCTTGACGGTGATGTTCCTCTGGAAACCCACATCACTGGCATCATAAAACACCCCGAGGCTGGTAATAACGATTGGATAGAGAACTCGGAAGCTCACGCTGACAACTTGGTCCTCAAAGAGCCCTGATGAAGTGTCTTCCAAAAGACTGAACGCCTCAATTTCCTGATTCAAAACTAAGGAAGTAATGAGAAAAGGAGTTTTACATAATCAAACGAAAACAACCTTTTATTTTACTAATATGAAGTGGGCTTGACAGCAAAATCTAGATAATTATATGTTATATAATTCTTTCACAAATGGCAATGAATTTTTAAAGTGCTTCAGAAATATGGCTGCTTCCAGAAAAAAAAAAAAACCTCATTTTGAAATTTAAGAATGAAGTTTTCAACCACATCTAAGTAAAATATTTAATTATAAGAACTACTTTAATAAACTTTTTTATACACGTGTGCGTCTGTATGTATAAACGCTACAGGGGAATATTAAATTTAAAGGCATCTATTAGGAAAGGTTGGATAAATGGCGATAATAAAAACAGTACTAATTGCAGTCATAAATAATGAGTAAATTTAGTCTTGCTCTGCAAATTCCAAAAATCCTACGTCTTGTTGAGCAATTTTGGTGATGTCGGGCAATTATCACAGTACGAAAGTAACTGAAATCACTTCAAATAACACTGAAAAACTCTTTATAGCGCTATACAGTACTGATAAAAGATGATAAGCATATCACTTTCTCCTGACTTAAAAAAAAAAAGCACATCAAACACAGTAAGCATTTCTGACCACCTACTATGTGCCAACTCCCATATTGAATCTTTACAACTACTCTATGTGGTTGTGACATTATCTCCAGTTTACAGATTAAGAAAATGAGGCCCAGAGATACATCTGATTAAGGTCACAGAAAGTGGCAGAGCCAGGAATCAAACCCAGATTTACTGACTTCGAATTCAGTGCTTTTTCTATCCCCCCAGAGCTGTCTAGTCAAAGCCAAAAACAGTCCTTTTTGGAAATTTTTCTCAATTACTATAAATGAATCAGGATAGATTACATGAAGCAGCTAATATGGCTGAGAATATCAGTGTCACCTTGAGAAATAACATAACTTATTTTAAAAGATTATTTTATCAAAGTTCTTTGTATTTTTTAGAGCTGTGGTTTTCCAACTTTACAGATCACACAACCCAATCAGTTAAAAACATTTGTACACATATTAATGTCATATTTATGTACAAAATCTACACATATTAAGGTCAGTTAATATATTCAATATTAATAAAGATTACACTTTATTTTCAGATAAAAAGAAATCCTGTTTTCTTCCCATACTCCAGCAGATCATTTGGATCCCTACTTTAGAGTTCCTAGAATGCTATTTTACACTTAGTAGACGCTCAATAAAATGTGACTAAATGGAATTGATGGCTCCTTCCCAATTACACACATGAGCAGGAGGGAAAAAAGGAGGATACAGATTTTGTCATGGGCTGGGGCAAGCACTGGCCAGAGAGTCTAGACTCCAAATATAGTGGATAGTAACAAAAGTTTTTCTCTTTAATACACTCAGTAAATAGGATATCCAAAATGAAGCATGTCCATTAAAGGCAGTAGGTTAAGCACATTATAACACAACTATTTTCTACCTAAAACAAATGCACCTTGAACTTCTAGCTACCTGGACACAAGATAGCCTGCTGCTTTGATAATGCTATTAATCAAACTTCTATACATCCAAGAGTATCACGATGATTAATGTTCACGGTGACCTTAAAGTATTTAAATAAATCTAAACGCCATTTAAATTATCAAAGAGATAAAATTAGGTTCAATGGTAATTTAGTTATATCTATTTTTAAAAATTGGTAACCTAGGTATTATATATATGAAAATTTTGTTAGTGAAAAACTCTACTCCTTTACTATTAATGAATAATAGCACTTAAAATAGTAAAAGTCTGGTTAATCTAAAGGTAAGGTTTCTTAAAATTTGGTTTGGCTTGGTTTTGGATTTCAAACATAATTTGTTCTAGGCTACTCTTACATCATCAGTGATACAATATTTTATTAGGTTTATGGTCCCTTTGGGACCCCAGTGAAAACTAAAGCACCCTCTCCCCAGAAAAAAACAATCATACACAAAATTTTGCTTACACTGTTAACTAAATTCATAGACATCCTAAGTAAGAAATCTCTGCTTTACAATGCAGACCTGAAAATATGGTCCAATTTATTTAAAAAGATGACTGCAACCCAATTTTATAAAAAGGCAGGTCCTTTAAAAATAACAATATTAAATACTGAACATATCCCAGGAGCTATTCTAAATATTTCATATGTATCAACGTATTTCATCCTCAAGTCAGTCCCTATGAGGTAAGTACTGTTTACCCCCAGTTTACGGATGACGAAACTGAGGCACAGAGTAGTAATAACTGTTCAAAGGTCATACAGCTAGAAAATGATGCAGCCTAGATTTAAAGCCAGGAGGCCTGACTCCAGAACCCACGCTCTTAACCATTACACTACTGCTGCCTACAAAGGCAAGGTGCACATAATTATAGAGGTGTGACAAATCTTAAAACACCTGAAGTCATAAACAGTACATTTAAGATTTGGGAGAGTTTCATCTCCCTTAGAACCACAGCTGAACATAATGAGAAATGCTAATAAATAAAGATATACAGGTATAGAGTTATCAACTTTCTAAAACTGGTTCCCTAGTAACACGGAGAACCTAATTAGGATCACCTTTCTTCATCCTCATCAGAACTATCACAAATTTTTAACTGTAAGGAATAAAAAAATATTACTTGTATTTTCAATTTTTTTTTACTATTTGTTTCTCTTGCAGAAGCTTAGGCAATAATTCTTAGAGAAAGCTGAGTCACAACATTTGTATCAAGGCTATTATAAATCAGCAGGCTGGTGAAATCAGCAGTTTTCCTTAAGTTTAAACTCAGGATTTGTCTATGCTTAAGGAATTTCCAGACGCGTTTGAATCATACTGAAAAATAAACTCCTGGATCCTAAAATTACATATCTATCTATAAAGAGTCTTCACAGATGCCCAGAGTGGTTAGTCTGTCAGGAAGGATGAAAGCTACATTTTGAGGCAAGTTTGATTTTAGTCCGCTAAAAGCAGACCACGGTACGATTCAGCTCAACAACTCTTCCTCAACATCAAACCTGTGCAGTAATCCCCCCTTCCCCGACCTGCCATCTGTGGTTTTGCTTTTCAGTTACCCACAGTTAACTGTGGTCCAAAAATATTAAATGGAAAATTCCAGAAATAATTCATAAGTTTTAAACTGCATGCTGTCCTGAGCAGCATGATGAAATTTCATGCCATCCATCTCCGTCCTGCCTGGGATGTGACCCATCCCTTTGTCCAGCATATCCCACCCGTGAGTCACATAGTAGCCACCTCAGTTGTCAGACCAACCCTCGAGGCATCACAGTGCTTGTGTTCACATCACCCTTATTTTACTTAACTAAGGCCCCAAAGTGCAAGAGTGGTGATGCTGGCAATTCGGATATGCTAAAGAGAAGCCATGAAGTGCTTCCTTCAAGTGAACGGGTAAAAGTCCTCCACTTAATAAGGAAAAAAAAAAATCATATGCTGAGATTGCTAAGATCTACCGCAAGAATATTCGGTGAAGTTATAAACAAGGAAAAAGAAATTTGTGCTAATTTTGCTGTCACACTTCAAACAGCCAAAGTTATGACTACGTGCAGGAAAAGTGCTTAGTTAAATGAAAAAGGCATTAAATTTGTACAATAAGATATTTTGAGAGAGAGAGACCATATTCACATAAATTTTATTATAGTATGTTGTAATTGTCCTATCTTACTATTACTTACTGTTATTAATCTCTTACTGTGCCTAATTTATAAATTAAACTTTATCATCGGTATGTACGAACAGGAAAAAACACGGTATACACAGGGCTTGGTTCTAGCAGGATTTCAGGCATCCACGGGGGGTCTTGGAATGTATCCCTCATGGGTAAGGGAAGACCAGTTTATACAGCAGTCGTAAGGCTTAGGAAAAAGAAGACTTACCTGGATTCGTGATGTTGAGTAGTTTGCAGGAATAAGGATCTTCCCTGTCTTCCACAGGCACCTCACAGCCATGAGCACCTATTATGAACTTCACAAGCACACTGAGAGATGTGTTGGCATTAACATCAGTTACTGATCTTCACCTTGCACATGCATGTTTCCTCATGCCCATTTCAGAGCTTTTACTTTGAGACACTAGTATTTATTAGTATTAATAATAACTTAATTTTTTTTTTTTTTGTGCGCAGTACGCGGGCCTCTCACTGTTGTGGCCTCTCCCGTTGCGGTGTGCAGGCTCCGGACACGCAGGCTCAGTGGTCATGGCTCACGGGCCCAGCCGCTCCGCGGCATGTGGGATCTTCCCGGACCCGGGCACGAACCCGTGTCCCCTGCATCGGCAGGCGGACTCTCAACCACTGCGCCACCAGGGAAGCCCCTAACTTAATTCTTCTAGTCTAGCAAAAAGGGGGAACAGGCAAACTAGGAGTTGCTAACTACCAAGTGACTTATGTGTAAGCCCTCTACTGCAGGACTACATTAAAGCAAGAGTGAGTACGTTCGGCCTGGCCACCAGCAAATGCTCATGCCATTTAACAGCAAACTATGGTAAAGTCAACTTCTCATGCCCACACGTAAAAACACATCTATACCTGCAATCTCCTTCACTCGCTTTCTTCTATTTCACAAAGTGTTCCTTTTGCTTGAGCAGTCTTTCTACCCCAGAAGAGGACCTCTCCTCTCGTAGATCTTGCTTCACTAGCCACCTGTAACCCCATGGCTCCTCCCCTACACATTATAAATACGATGAAGTCTGACATTAATTTCTATCCACCTACCATCCGTCCTTGTCCCCATCACTTCCTTTACAGTGAAGTCCTACAAAGGAACATCTAAAACTAGCCTCTGGTTTCTCATTTCCCACTCATTTTATAAAACGGAAATTTTAGCTTCAGTATCCACCACTTCCACCGAGATGTCTACCACCAATACAACTAGCAATCTGCTGTTCAGTCAACAGACACTCTTCAACCCTTCCCTACTTGGCTTCTCTGAGGCTCGACAATGCAGGTCTCCTTAGAAAGCTCTCTTTCTCCACGTGGCCCTGCTCAGTGGGATCCCTGGCTCTTCCTGCCCAGCTCATCCATTAGAGTGGATATCCCCCCAGGGCTTTGCCCTGGGATCGCTTCTCACTCCACTCACTCTTTCCACTTGCTCTCCCTGGACAGTTTCTATCCCCAAAGCTTCAACCAGCCTGGGAATGATTCCTGAATTAGCATCTCTAGTTTAGACCCAACTTCTAAGAAAAAGATCCATGAATTCATCGTACGTCTTCACCTAGACGGCCCACAGACAGCTGTGTACTACAGCCTGCTCCTACTGGGTCATGATGGCCAACTGCAAAATTTTCAAGAATTTTGTGAGCTGGTTATTAAGCACAGCTTTTATTAAAAATTAAATTTATAAACTTACAATACATTATTTTAAAAACAAAGGAAATAAGTGCTCAAATTAATCATTTTCTGATGTTATATGTATCCACTGTATCTGTATGATGGGGATATTATAATGGTGTGCCACTGCCTATCTTCCCCAACTCTGTGTTCAGAGACATCACATTAGTTGCTTGAAACTGGCCATGGTTGGAACACTTACAGCATGCAAACTGGCAAGCACTACAAATAAGGGTTTGATTTATTGTTCTGATAGCTGTGGTAAAGGTGTTGAGAAGTGTTGGATTCTGGATACAATGTAAGGTAGCGCCGAGAAGATATGCTAATGGATCTGTGTGGCATATGAGACAAAGAAGGATCAAGATAACACTGTACTGTAAATTGTAAAAACCTCATATTTTCCTGACGCCTCAATATCCCCACAAACAGGCTGAAGCATCCCGCCCCGATGACCAGGTCCACTCGGGTAACAAGGCTGGTCCCTGCCACAAGTTCCCCTTCTTGCCCTCCCCTGACAGTGACCTCGTGACATTCAAACCCAATGATGAAATCCCTCATGCCTTTTGCTTGTACACTCCACCCTGACCGCAAGTAAAGACACCTGCCCACGGGTCCTCAGCCTCTCTCGGCTCCCCGCCTGCTTCGGTGAGCCCGCTCCTTGGACCCTCTTCCCATTTGGCCCCCTGTGTGGTGTGCCGGGCCTCCGTCTCTAGGACCTGTGAGCATGACAGATCCTTTCACTTCTAATGCCTCTCCCAGTGTAATTCCCATTGCCGTGCTGGAGAGACCCTTACAGACCCAATAAAGGGGACTCACTCCTCCACTCACAGCTCAGACACCAAAGTTTTCACCTGAGCAACTGCAAGAGATGGGTCATTACTTTCTGAGATGGGAAAGGCTAGAGGAAGTGCAGGTTTTCAAGGTGGTTCTGATGGTAGTGATGACTCTGAGGCCTTTTTTCACTTGCTGGGTAATAGGTTCTATTATCATTGTGATCCTGAACTAGAGAAACCTGTCTTGAAAAGGAATGAAAGCTACTATGAGTGGCTCAAGGGGAAGATGGTGGAAGAGTAAGACGCAGAGATCACCTTCCTCCCCACAGATACACCAGAAATACATCTACACGTGGAACAACTCCTACAGAACACCTACTGGATGCTGGCAGAAGACCTGAGACCTCCCAAAAGGCAAGAAACTCCCCACGTACCTGGGTAGGGCAAAAGAAAAAAGAATAAACAGAGAAAAAAGAATAGGGACGGGACCTGCACCAGTGGGAGGGAGCAGTGAAGGAGGAAACGTTTCCATACACTAGAAGCCCCTTCGTGGGTGGAGACTGCGGGTGGCGGAGGGGGGCAGCTTCGGAGCCGCGGAAGAGAGCGCAGCCACCGGGGTGCGGAGGGCAAAGCGCGGAGATTCCCGCACAGAGGATCGGTTCCGACCAGCACTCACCACCAGCCCAAGAGTCTTGTCTGCTCACCCGCCGGGACGGGCGGGGCTGGGAGCTGAGGCTCGGGGCTTCGGTCAGAGCGCAGGGAGAGGACTGGGGTTGGCGGCGTGAACACAGCCTGCACGGGATTAGTGCACCACGGCTAGCCGGGAGGGAGTCCGGGAAAAGTCTGGACCTGCCGAAGGGGCAAGAGACCTTTTCTTCCCTCTTTGTTTCCTGGTGCGCGAGAAGAGGGGATTCAGAACGCTGCTTAAAGAATCTCCTGAGACGGGCGTGAGCCGCGGCTAACAGTGCGCACCCCAGAGACGGGCATGAGACGCTAAGGCTGCTGCTGCCACCACCAAGAAGCCTGTGTGCGAGCACAGGTCACTGTCCACACCTCCCCTCCCCAGAGCCTGTGCAGCCCACCACTGCCAGGGTCCCGGGATCCAGGGACAACTTCCCCAGGAGAACGCACGGCGCGCCTCAGGCTGGTGCAATGTCACACTGACCTCTGCCGCCGCAGGGTGGCCCCGCATCCGCACCCCTCCCTCCCCCCGGCCTGAGTGAGCCAGAGGCCCCTAGGCAGCTGCTCCTTTAACCCCGTCCTGTCTGAGCGAAGAACAGACGCCCTCCCGCGACCTACATGCAAAGGCGGGGCCAGATCCAAAGCTGAGCCCCGGGAGCTGTGCGAACAAAGAAGAGAAAGGGAAAGCTCTCCCAGCAGCCTCAGGAGCAGCGGATTAAAGCTCCACAATCAACTTGATGTACCCTGCATCTGTGGAATACATGAATAGACAACGAATCATCCCAAATTGAGGAGCTGGACTTTGAGAGCAAGATTTATGATTTTTTCCCCTTTTCCTCTTTTTGTGAGTGTGTATGTGTATGCTTCTATGTGAGATTTTGTCTGTATAGCTTTGCTTCCACCATTTGTCCTAGGGTTCTATTCGTCCATTTTGTTTTTTTTTTACTGAAAAAACTTTTTTCTTAATAATTATTTTTTAATAACTTTATTTTATCTTACTTTATTTTGTTTTCTTTTATCCTCTTTCTTTCTTTCTTTCTACTTTTTCTCCCTTTTATTCTGAGCCGTGTGGATGAAAGGCTCTTGGTGCTGCAGCCAGGAGTCAGTGCTGTGCCTCTGAGGTGGGAGAGGACACTGGTCCACAAGAGACCTCCCAACTGCACATAATATCAAATGGCGAAAATCTCCCAGAGATCTCCATCTCAACACCAACACCCAGCTTCACTCAACGACCAGCAAGCTACAGTGATGGACACCCTATGCCAAACAACTAGCAAGAGAGGAACACAACCCCACCCATTAGCAGAGAGGCTGCCTAAAATCATAATAAGGCCACAGACACCCCAAAACACACCACCAGACGTGGACCTGCCCACCAGAAAGACAAGATCCAGCCTCATCCACCAGAACACAAGCACTAGTCCCCTCCACCAAGAAGCCTACACAACTCACTGAACCAACTTTAACCACTGGGGACAGACACCAAAAACACCGGGAACTACGAACCTGCAGCCTGCAAAAAGGAGACCCTAAACACAGTAAGACAAGCAAAATGAGAAGACAGAAAAACACACAGCAGATGAAGGAGCAAGATAAAAACCCACCAGACCTAACAAATGAAGAGGAAATAGGCAGTCTACCTGAAAAAGAATTCAGAATAATGATAGTAAAGATGATCCAAAATCTTGGAAACAGAATAGACAAAATGCAAGAAACATTTAAAAAGGACCTAGAAGAACTAAAGATGACACAAGCAATGATGAACAACACAATAAATGAAATTTAAAATACTCTAGGGCTTCCCTGGTGGTGCAGTAGTTCAGAGTCTGCCTGCCGATGCATGGGACACGAGTTCGTGCCCCGGTCCAGGAGGATCCCACATGCCGTGGAGCAGCTGGGCCCGTGAGCCATGGACGCTAAGCCTGCACGTCTGGAGCCTGTGCTCCGCAACGGGAGAGGCCACAACAGTGAGAGGCCTGCATACAGGAAAAAAAGAAAAAAGAAAAAAAAACTCTAGAAGGTATCAATAGCAGAATAACTGAGGCAGAAGAACAGATAAGTAACCTGGAAGATAAAATACTGGAAATAACTACTGCAGAGCAGAATAAAGAAAAAAGAATGAAAAGAACTGAGGACAGTCTCAGAGACCTCTGGGACAACATTAAACGCACCAACATTCGAATTATAGGGGTTCCA